AAAAGAATTAAATAAATAAAAGAATTAAATAAACAAAAGAATTAAATAAATAAAATAAATAAAAAGAAATAAAGAAATAAATAATTTCTTTTTTTCTCAGGGGGCCCCTGGACTTGGTGTTGGCTTTGCATGCATGCGGGGGCCTCTCCGACAGCATTTTGTCTTTTTGTTTATCTTTTTCTGTTTCTTTTTTGGTTTGCTGCTGCTGCTTCTCGAAGCACAAGCAGCAGCGGCAGCAAACGCTGCTCCCGCTGCTGCTGCGGGGGGCCCCTGCTGCTGCTGCTGCTGCTGCTGCTGCTGCTGCTCAAGTTTGCCTCTTCTGCGCCCCTCAGTACCCTCTGGGGGGCCCCTGGGGGCCCCCCTGCCCCCACAGCAGCAGCAGCCGCAGCAGCAGTGCTGCAGCAGATTTCAAGCAGCAGCAGAAGCAGCAGCAGCAGCAGCAGCAGAAGCAGCAACAGCAGCAGCAGCAGCAGCAGCAGCTTGCAGGGGGGGCCCCCAAGGGGGCCCCCCAACAACCCTTGGGGGCCCTTCAAACAAATGCAGAAGGGGGGCCCCCCAGAGGGGGGCCCCCACTAGATCTGGGGGGCCCCCCTAAAAGGGGGGCCCCTCTAGATTATGTTCCTGATGATGAGCAGCTCAGTACCCTGTTTAGGTAAGGGGCCCTTGCTTCTAGTCTTCAGTTTTGCTGCTGCTGCTGCTGCTGCTGCTGGTACTTCTGCTGCTGCTGGTGCTGCTGCTGTTGCTGCTGCTGCTGCTGTTGTTGCTGCTGATGGTACTGCTGCTGCTGCTGTTCCCGCTGCTGTCGCTGATATCGCCGCAGTTGCTGCTGCTTATCCTGCTGCTGATGCTGCTGCTGCTGGTTCTACTCCTGCTGCAGCTGCTGCAGCTGCTGCTGCAGCTGCTGCAGCAGCTGCTGCAGCTACTGCTGCGGGTTCAAAGGGCTCGTCGCCTCTGCTCTTTTGCTCGCCTAGCTGCTGCTTTTACTTTAAATAATTTAATTTCAAATTAAATTATTTTTAATTTAATTAATTTAATTTAATTTAATTTAATTTAATTTAATTTAATTTAATTTAATTTAAGTTAAGTTTTGCCTTTTTGTTATTAGGCTCGCAGACAGCACAGACCCGGATGTGCAGCCAATTGCTGCTGCCACTGCGATGGCTTGGAGAGCAGCAGCAGCAAAAGCAATAGCAGCAGCAAAAGCAGCAGAAGCAGCAGCAGCAGCAGCAGCAGCAGCAGCAGCAGCAGCAGCAGCAGCAGATGCAACAGCCAAGACTGAAGAGCCTGCCCTCCAGGGGGGCCCCCCCGGGGGGCCCCCAAGCCGGGGGGCCCCCCTAGAGGGTACTGCTGGGTGCGAGTGTGGGGCCCCCCGGCCCCTGGGGGCCCCCCTGGGGGCCCCCCTAGGGGGGCCCCCCGGACTGGACTTTGAGTGCCATTTGCTTTCTTTTCCTTCTTCTTTCTCTTCAAAGAATCTTGTCCTTTTCGGACAGTTCAAACAAAAGTAATTCCAACACAAAACACTCCCCACAACTCCCAGGGGGGGCCCCCAGGGGGCCCCCAGGGGGCCCCCCAGGGGGCCCCCAGGGGGCCTCACAGTCAGGCGGGCCCCACAGGGGGCCCCACAGTCAGGGGGCCCCTCAGGGGGCCCCTCAGGGGGCCCCTCAGGGGGCCCCTCAGGGGGCCCCACAGGGGGCCCCAGAAGAGGGTACTCAGGAGACCCCACAGGCGGGCTCACAGGGGGGCCCCCAGGGGCCCCACAAGAGGGTTTTAAGGGGGCCCCCTGTGGGGCCCCCAGAAGGGTACAGAAGTCCCGTCTGGGGGCCCCCAGAGGAAGTTTTGGAATGGATTTAGGGGCCCCCACATTAGCTCAGGGGGGCCCCTGGGGCCCCCTAAAAGGGTACTTTAATGAAAGGACTGGGGGGCCCTCACAGGGTCTAGGGCCCCTGGGGGCCCCCCAGGCACTTTGAGGGCCCCCAGGGGCCCCCAGGGGGCCCCCCGGGGGGCCCCCTGACTCATTTGCAAAAGGGAGAAACCCTTAGGGGGCCCCTCGAGGGGCCCCCAGGTGATATAAGGGGCCCCTTTGGGGCCTCTTGAGGGCCTGTGAACGAGTTTATGAGGCTTCAAACCCTAAACCCTAATTTAGGGTTTTGAAAAGATCCGCACCACAGCAACTTAGTTGACTAAAATGCTGCTTCGAGTCCTATTAGGAGTGGAGGAAAATAATAAATATGGAAATAAAAAGCAAAAGTGGATAATAAATTAAATTAATAAAATAAATAAAATAAAATAAATAAATTAAATTAATAAATAAAATAAATAAATTAAATTAATAAATAAAATAATAATAAATGGACTTGAAGTAACAGCCACCCAGAAAGAAAGAGTTCAGAGAAAGAAAACGCCAGAGAGGCCCCACAAAGAAGCCCACAGCAGCAGCTGCTGCTGCTGCTGCAGCTTCTGCTGCTGCTGTTGCTGCTGCTGCTGCTGTTGCTGCTGCTGC